GGAAAGATCTAAAATCAACACCCTATCATCAAAATTGAAAGAGCTACAGGAGCAAGATCAAAAAAACTCAAAACCTAGTGGAAGATAAGAAATAACTAAGATAAGAGCAGAACTGAAGGAGATAGAGACACAAAAAACCCTTGAAAAATCAATTAATCCAGGAGCTGGTTTTTCGAAGAGATCAACAAAATAGACCACTAGCCAGATTAATACAAAAGAAAAGAGAGAATAATCAAATAAATGCATAAAAAATGATAAAGGATATATCACCACAGATTCCACAGAAATACAAACCATCATCAGAGATTATTACAAACAACTCTATGCACATACACTAGTAAACCTGGAAGAAATTGATAAATTCCTGGATACTTGCATCCTCCCAAGCCTAAACCAGGAAGAAGTTGAAACCCTGAATAGACCAATAACAAGGTATGAAGTTGATGCAGCAATTAAGAGCCTACCACTCAAAAAACCCCAAGTCCAGACGGGTTCACAGCAGAATTCTACCAGACATACAAAGAGGAGCTGGTACCATTCCTTCTGAAACTATTCCAAGCAATCCAAAAAGAGGGAATCCTTCCCAAATCATTTTATGAGACAAACATCATTCTGATACCAAAACCCGGCAGAGACTCAGCAAGAAAAGAAAACTACAAGCCAAGATCCATGATGAATATAAATGCAAAAATCTTCAATAAAATACTGGCAAACCGATTGCAACAGTACATCAAAAGCATATCCACCATGATCAAGTAGGCTTCATTACAGGGATGCAAGGCTGGTTCAACATACACAAGTCTATAAAATTAATTCACCACATAAACAGAACCAAAGACAAAAAACACATGATTATCTCAATTGATGCAGAGGCGGCCTTTGACAAAATTCAACAGCCTTTATGCCAAAAAGCCTCAATAAACTAGGCATTGATGGAACCTATCTCAAAATAATAAAAGCTATTTACGACAAACCCAGAGCCAATATCATGCTGAATGGGCAAAACTGGAAGCATTCCCTTTGAAATCTGCCACTGGACGAGGATGCCCTCTCTCATCACTCCTATTCAATATTGTATTGGAAGTTCTAGCCAGAGCAATCAGGCTAGAAAAAGAAATAAAGGGTATTCAAATAGGAAAGGAGGAAGTCAAATTGTCTCTATTTGCAGACGACATGATCGTATATCTAGAAGACCCCATCGTCTCAGCCCAAAATCTCCTGAAACTGATAAGCAACTTCAGCAAAGTCTCAGGATACAAAATCAACGTGCAAAAATCACAAGCATTCCTATACACCAATAACAGACTTAAAGAGAGCCAAATCAAGAACAAACTGCCATTCACAATTGCTATGAAGAGAATAAAATACCTAGGAATACAACTAACAAGGAACTTAAAGGACCTCTTCAAGGAGAACTACAAACCACTGCTCAATGAAATAAGAGAGGACACAAACAGATGGAGAAACATTCCATGTTCATGGTTAGGAAGAATCAATATTGTGAAAATGGCCATACTGCCCAAAGTAATTTATAGATTCAATGCTATCCCCATCAAGCTACCAATGACCTTCTTCAGAGAACTGGAAAAAAAACACCTTAAACTTCATATGGAACCAATAGAGAGCCCGCATAGCCACGTCAATTCTAAGCAAAAAGAACAAAGAGGGAGGCATCACACTACTGGACTTCAAACTATACTACAAGGCTATAGTAATCAAAGCAGCATGGTACTGGTACCAAAACAGAGATATAGACCAATGGAACACAACAGAGGCCTCGGAGGCAACACAACATATCTACAACCATCTGATCTTCAACAAACCTGACAAAAACAACAATGGGGAAAGGATTCCCCATTTAATAAATGGTGTTGAGAAAACTGGCTAGCCATGTGCAGAAAGCAGAACCTGGACTCCTCCTGACACCTTACACTAAAATTAACTCCAGATGGATTAAAGACTTAAACATAAGACCTAACACCATAAAAACTCTAGAAGAAAATCTAGGCAAAACCATTCAGGACATAGGCATAGGCAAGGACTTCATGACCAAAACACCAAAAGCATTGGCAACAAAAGCCAAAATAGACAAATGGGAGGACCTAATCAAACTCCACAGCTTCTGCAGAGCAAAAGAAACAGTCATTAGAGTGAATCGGCAACCAACAGAATGGGAAAAAATTTTTGCAATTTATCCATCTGACAAAGGGCTGATATTCAGAATCTACAAAGAACAAAAACATATTTACAAGAAAACAACAAATAAGCCCATTCGAAAGTGGGCAAAGGATATGAACAGACACTTCATGAAAGAAGACATAAATGAGGCCAACAAACATATGAAAAAATGCTCAGCATCACTGGTCATTAGAGAAATGCAAATCAGAACTACATTGAGATACCATCTCACGCCAGTTCGAATGGCGATCACTAAAAAATCTGGAGACAATAGATGCTGCAGAGGATGTGGAGAAATAGGAACACTTTTACACTGTTGGTGGGAGCGTCAATTAGTTCAACCATTGTGGAATACAGGGTGGCAATTCTTCAAGGACCTAGAAATAGTAATTCCATTTGACCCAGCAATGCCATTACTGGGTATATATCCAAAAGATTATAAATCATTGTACTATAAGGACACATGCATACGAATGTTCATTGCAGCACTGTTCATAATAGCAAAGACCTGGAACCAACCCAAATGCCCATCGATGATAGACTGGACAGGGAAAATGTGGCACATATACACCATGGAATACTATGCAGCCGTAAAAACCAATGAGTTTGTGTCCTTTGTAGGGACATGGATGAACCTGGAAACCATCATTCTCAGCAAACTGACACAAGAGCAGAAAATCAAACACTGCATGTTCTCACTCATAGGTGGGTGTTGAACAATAAGAACACATGGGCACAGGGAGGGGAGCATCACACACTGGGGTCTGTTGGGGGAAATTAGGGGAGGGACGGGGGGTGAGGAGTTGGGGAGAGATAGCATTGAGAGAAATAATAGATATAGGTGATGGGGAGGAAGGCAGCAAATCACACTGCCATGTGTGTACCTATGCAACAATCTTGCATGTTCTTCACATGTACCCCAAAACCTAAAATGCAATTAAAAAAAAAACAAAAACCTCACTATCTATTTCACCAATTTTGCTAGGGCCATTTTGCATCTTGAAATTTTTTTTTTTTTTTTTTTTGAGACGGAGTTTCGTTCTTGTTACCCAGGCTGGAGTGCAATGGCGCAATCTCGGCTCACCGCAACCTCCTCCTCCTGGGCTCAGGCAATTCTCCTGCCTCAGCCTCCTGAGTAGCTGGGATTACAGGCACGTGCCACCATGCCCAACTAATTTTTTGCACTTTTAGTAGAGACGGGGTTTCACCATGTTGACCAGGATGGTCTCGATCTCTCAACCTCGTGATCCACCCGCCTCGGCCTCCCAAAGTGCTGGGATTACAGGCTTGAGCCACCGCACCCGGCTGCATCTTGAAACTTAACCAAATTATTTCATATTCCTATTTCAAGTCATATGCATGTCTGATATCAAATAAATAGTAAGTTTCTGCTGAAGGTGCCTGAAGGAATTTCTAGTCTCATTTGTTTCTCAATTAAATTATTAGCCACTAATTAATTGAACCCACAAGTGGTTGAAAATTTCCTTTACATATAAGGATGCCTTTTCTATGTCAAGGGCCAAATGGGACTATCTTATTGTATTACCATATAATCTTAAGATTTTACTTTTGCATATGAATAACAGTTAAACATTTGGGATTAGACAGATGACATAATTTTCTTCCCCATTTTATTATTTTATATATATATATATATATTTTTTTTTTTTTTTTGAGACGGAGTTTCGCTCTTGTTACCCAGGCTGGAGTGCAATGGCACAATCTCGGCTCACCGCAACCTCCGCCTCCTGGGTTCAGGCAATTCTCCTGCTTCAGCCTCCTGAGTAGCTGGGATTACAGGCACGTGCCACCATGCCCAGCTAATTTTTTTGTATTTTTAGTAGAGACGGGGTTTCACCATGTTGATCAGGATGGTCTCGATCTCTTGACCTCGTGATCTACCTGCCTCGGCCTCCCAAAGTGCTGGGATTACAGGCTTGAGCCTCCGCGCCCGGCTATATTTCTGAACTTATTTGTTAAAGAGTTGTGGCCTATTATCTCCAAATAAGATGCCAATAAATTAATTCATGAACACTGAAGAAAATTCAAAATGCTAATGGACTCTTGCAATGAATGGTTTAGAATTCATTGAATAAAGTTTTAGACCTAAATCTCTATCTGGAAAATCTGAACATATCAAAGAGAGTATAGCTGGATTCTTCAAAGACGAGAGCACTAACACCTAAAAAAAAAAAAACAACAACAACACGGTGGTTCTGGGACTACAACACTCTTTAAAGATGAAGCTGTCCACGTACTGAAGAAAATTAGACTAGGCTGGTGACCTGTACAAAGTATTAGTGATAACGTAACATTCAGCTTCCTAAGAGTTAAAATGTGCTGCTTACATGGAGGGAGGTGATACTGAGTTAAGGATTCCTGGTACAGAGAAGCAGAGAGACCAACCTACTTCACATTATTTATAGAATAGAGAATATTCTCAGCTAACAAGCTGGGGGAAAAAAATTGTTCTAAAAGGAAGAATTACAATCAATGCCAACATTTACAAATTCCATCATGTTCAAATAAAAGGACAAAAATGAACATCTCTTATTTAAAAGAAAACAAATTTCCCAAACTATAGCTTATCTGTGAGCACTTCTTTATCAGTCTGACTATTCTTTAAAGGCCTTAAAGGCATTTGGGATAAAAACAAATAAAAGTGCCCAAGTTTTAAAAAGTCATATGTTAACTTAGGATGTTATCTAAACATTTTTTTAGACCTTTCAATTTTTTTTTTAATTTTTGTTTTTTTTAGTTGTTCATGTTCTATGATGTATCAATGTTTTTTTAAGAGGTGTAGATACTGGTAACTTTTCTATTTAAATAAATGTTTATTATATATGTCACCAACAACACTAGCCTGTAGCACACAGCATTCCATATAAAAACACATTGCTATTAAAAAAAAAAAAAGTACACTGAAACAAACAAACCAAAAAATTCTAGTTTGAATAGAAAAATTACATCCAGAGATTCTTTTCCCATTATCTTTTAGGACAACCACAGAACTCTTTGAACCCGTACCCTTAATCCAGAAGGTACATCTTAATAAAAGAACTCTAAATGCCGAGTACTGAAATAAAACATTACTTACAATAATTTCCTAGTTATCTAAAACTTGCTTCTTGTAGCAATTGTCAACTTCTTAAGATGACTTGTTTTTATAAGCTCCTCAGTGTCAATATATCTCAATAATACATTTATTACTTGTACAATTACTTCACATATAATTAATAATATAAAAACATCATTTCACTAAAGAAAGATACACATTCAATAAGGCCAACTTCTAGTTTTAAAAAAAGCACTTGATGAATTTTCTTCTGATTTCATTTCTCCAGAAGACCAGTCCTTAAGGACTTCTGGAGTCTAGCTATGTTGGCATCTAATGCCGCAAGGCCATTCCTGAAGTCTTGTTCATCACGAGAAGTGAATGTTGAAAATGAAGAGATGCTCCAGTCAGACATCAAGTCAGAAGTGAAAACACTACCATCACAGACAGTACTGTCCTGCACTTGAATGCTGTTGCTAAGACAACCTGATGGGCCAGGACATGCAGTTTGTTCCTCTGTATCCTCAGTGGCAGCAGGGATCTTACGAATTGCTTCCTTTATTTTCTTGAGGAGCTGTATGTCCTTCATATCAGATGTTCTGGAAAGCTTTTCAGGCACATCTTCTGCTTCCTTTGTGGAAGAGGAACAGGCTACAGATGTACACAGTTTATCTTCTTTTCCAGAGACAGCAAGTCCACTGTTGCTGACTAGCTGTGTTATAGCGGCTCTTATTTGTGGCTGAGGGGACAGCCTCTTACATAGTGATGATTTATTTTCAGAAGTGCTTCTAGCAAAAGGAATGTATATTGTACTATCCAAATTATGCTCATTTTCTAATAAAGCCATAGTTTCGCTCCCTTCATCAGAATCCTGTTTTGAAAGAGCAGAAATAATTCCGGGTGCAGATACTTCCTCCATGTCCCTAGTGTTACTATGTTGAGGGCCTCTGGAGGGCAGAATATTTTCATATGGTTTGTCTGACTCTATGGTTGCCTCATTTTTAATTGTAGAAAGTGACTCTGAATATATAAAACTGTGATTTGTTTCTAACTTATTTAGATAGCTCATTATGGAGGTGTGAGCAGGAGCTGGGTCATGTTGAAGTTGTTTATCATGAATGTTCAAGAGTGATTTGGTAAGGTTATTCCCAGGCTTGCAGCGAGCACTGTCCGCACTAAGATCAGAGAGAAGCTTTGCCATGCTAGTCTGTAAAGTTCTGTCAAGAAGAATTTAGAACACTAATTATTATTTTTTACCTGTTTCTTTAATTCACTTATCTATAGCTCCATTTTAAAAAAAAAAAAAAAAAAAAAAAAGAGGATTTGAAAGAAGTGCCTGGTTCTCAATATGAAAACAAGTGACTAGAAACAAAAAAATCACAGAATATGCTATGGCAAGAGCATATGCTAATTAAAATAAAAATGATAAAATGCCTTGGTCTATATCAAATCTATTACTATGTTTAAAAATAGAGATTCAGAATTTTTTAAGGTATGGAGACTGTCTTTTTTTTTTAATTGAGACAGAGTCTCATTCTGTCACCCAGGCTGGAGTGTACTGGCATGATCACAGCTCACTGTAACCTCTGCCTGGTTCAAGCAATCCAGGTTCAAGCAATTCTCTCACCTCAGCCTCCCAAGTAGCTAGGATTACAGGTGTGCGCCATCAGGCCTGGTTAATTTTTCCATTTTTAGTAGAAACAGCATTTCACCATGTTGGCCAGGTTGGTCTTAAACTCCTGGCCTCAAGTGATCTGCCTACCTTGGCCTTCCAAAGTGCTGGGATTATAGGCATGCACCACTGTGCCCAGCCGAGATGGATTATTCTTGAGCAGCACTACGAATTGAGCCCTAGACAAAAAAAACTGGCCTCATAAAAGTAGGCTAAGATAGGCCGGGCGCGGTGGCTCAAGCCTGTAATCCCAGCACTTTGGGAGGCCGAGGCGGGTGGCTCACGAGGTCAAGAGATCGAGACCATCCTGGTCAACATGGTGAAACCCCGTCTCTACTAAAAATACAAAAAAAATTAGGTGGGCATGGTGGTGCGTGCCTGTAATCCCAGCTACTCGGGAGGCTGAGGCAGGAGAATTACCTGAACCCAGGAGGTGGAGGTTGCGGTGAGCCAAGATTGCGCCATTGCACTCCAGCTTGGGTAACAAGACCGAAACTCCGTCTCAAAAAAAAAAAAAAAAAAAAGTAGGCTAAGATACAAAGGGAAATACACTATTCATTTGTTACAGATTCTGTTAGAAATTATTTTCCTTCATTTTACATATATATGTATGTATGTGTGTATGGGAGGGACACAATACTAGAAAAAAAGCATAGGCAGAATAGGTATAAGCAATAGCTAGGTACCAGAAAGGTGTATAAGGAAAACTACACAGGTTTGAAGTTAGAAATGGAATCAAATAAATCCCAGTGCCATAATTAGCTGTGATCCTGGGCAAGTCATTTAACCTTTCTGAATCTCAAGCCCCTCAAATGGAAAATGAAGATACTTCTGAACTACAGTGAAGATTAAATAAAATAAAATAGTAAGGTATAAAGGTAAAGTACTTAGTGCAGTTTCAGTCAAAGTGGGTGCTTATTTGATGGCAGCCTTTATTAGTAGTCCTATTAAAGCCATTTTATACTAAGACTTTAGTCTATTTAAATTGACTCATATATGGTTTCAAAAATCAAAAAGGGTGGGGCATGGGCTCATGCCTGTAATCCCAGCACTTTGGGAGGTCACAGCAGGCAGATCACTTGAGGTCAAAAGTTTGAGACCAGCCTGGCCAATATGGTGAAACCCCATCTCTACTAAAAATTACAAAAATTAGCTGGGCGTAGTGACACATGCCTGTGACCCCAGCTACTTGGGAGGCTGAGGCATGAGAATTGCTTGAACCCAGGAGGCAGAGGTTACAGCAAGCCAAGATTGCTCTACTATACACCAGGCTAGGCAACAGAGTGAGACTCAGTCTTAAAGAACCAACCAACCAAACAAATAACCAAAAAAACCCAAAAACCAATTTAAACAAAGATACAATGTACATCAACAAGTAACAAAAAAAAAATACCACTAGCCAATAAGCAAACTTTAAGAGTTCAACTTTGAATCAAATAAATTCAAAATTTAAAAATATAGTTTTTAAAAATCAAATTAACACAGTAAAATAAGAATAATATGAGAAGCCTGGAGAGGCAGGTAGTACTGGTGGGAGTGTACAGTGGTATATCTCCTCTGGAGAGCAAACTGGCAATGCATTTCAAAAGCCTTAAAGATTTGTGTATCTCACACTCTGTGGCCCTCCAATTTATACTTATCAAAATATCCTACTGATCTACACAGAGGGTGTACCCAAAGATATATATTATAAAGATATTATTTATAAGATAAAATAGATGGACATATATATCTTTATCTTCAAAAAGTGAGCTGGTTCAGGTAAGTTATGGTATAACTGCATCATGGCCTTTAATTATAGTCACGTTGTAAAGAATATTTATTGATGGGAAATATTCACTACATCAGGTTAAGAGCAGGCCATAAATAACCTAGACTCATTAATTTTTTTTAAAGTAGTCACACATATAAACATAAAATGCTAAAAAGAAATCTCTATACTAAACAGTCAGCAGTGATGATATCTCTATATATAGGATGAATGATTCTCTCCTACAAAAGCAAAAGCAAATTTTTTCCAACTTGGCTTATACTGTCCTCTTAAACATTCTGTATTGTGACTTCTAATTATTCTTCAAATGGCAATGGTTCCTACTACTTCTTCTAATACCTTTCTATTTTTAAAAACTTCTTTCAAGGTTATGAGGAGTAACATCTCTTTTAATAAGTCTTAAAAACCTCCAGCAAGAAGGTGGAATAAGAGTTTCCTGGCTCTGGTCCCCCTCATAGAAATTGAACTAGTTACTGTCCACAGACAAGTATACCTTCATGAATATCCCAGAACACAGGAGTGAGCTGAGACACTCTCTGGGATGAAAGAACTGAGAAAACCTGCATTAGAAGGTTAAAAGGAACAGCTTCACTCTGACAGTGTCACCCCTTTCCAAGCTAGTAAAGTACCACACAGAGAGGAGTCCCCTGGGCCTACAGTTTCTACCACAGAAAAAGAAAGCTGGAGGCGAACATTAAGCTCCCCAGTATTCTGGGATGCTTCTCAGGAAGCCCACTTTTGTATCGTTCCATGTGTTCCTACAGGGCTAGACCATCTAGGGTTAGCAAAAAACAAAGAAGGGGGTGGGGCTCATAGCGGTTACAGCACAGATTTTGGCAATGACAGCATTCCTGTCAATGGAAGCGGCAGACCAAAGACCAGTCAATAGCACTGCTTTGCAGAAAGCACAGTTGACAGGTTTGCCAGGGCCAAGTCCCTACCACTATCACACCCAAGCTTTCTCCAACCCTTCCTTAAACAGAGTCTCAGCTCTCTGCTTAAAGTCTTCCTAGGCCAGGAGGCAAGTATGCGTTAGCACGTAAGTGTAGAAGAGAGCATATGGTCCCATAAGAACTGAGAGGGCAAGTGGTTACAACACCCAGCCTCAGTACTCTGCTTATGGCTTCCCTAGACCCAGAGGCAAGTGCACATTAGCGTAAATCTTCAGAGGTCAGCATCTGGTCCTGCCAGGCTCTAGTGACCCTGCCTGACTTCACAGTTGTGCATATAGTTTCCTGAGACCAGGAGGCAAACCTGCATTCCTGCATATCTGCAGAACACAGTAACTGGCCCTGCTCAACCTTAGCAGTTAAGCAGTGACTCCACTCAGCTTTGGAGTCCAGCCTGAGGTTCTGCCCAGGCCCAGGCAGGGAGGCAAGCTTGTGACTGCATACTGTGGAGCAATCTCTAGCCCTGCCTATCCGAAGTAGCTGAGCAGCAAACCCAGCAACCTTGAAGTCAAGCCTGCAACCCTGTCCAATTATAGATTCTAAACAGTAGTAGCACTCAGCCAGGGAATATGGCCAGCAACCCTGCCCAATCAAAGGTAATTGCAGAGCCCAGCCAGCAACTCCACCTGATCTCAGAACCCAGTCAGTGCCCTCACTGTTTGATGGAGCACAGCCAGTGGTTTCACAAAACCATGGAGTATAGCCAATAGCTTCACTGACCTCAAAGCACCAGCAGTAGCCCAGCCAGAGAACCCAACAGCAAGGTCTGCCTGCCTATGGTCACTACTCGATGGCCAATCCAGACTCTCAGGCTAAACAGTGAAGGTCTACCCCCTTCACCTCAAGTGAGAGGGGTGTAGAGCAGAACACTTGGAAAAGCTGGAAGAGGTGGCCACTTCAAGTGCACAGACACCAATGCAAGGATACAAGGATGATGAAGAATCAGACAAAAATGACACTACTAAAAGAAAGCAATAAAGCACCAATAATGGACACTAAAGAAATAAGATCTATGAAATGACAGACAAATAATTGAGAATAATCCTCTCTTTAAAATGTTCAGGGAACTACAAGAAAATACATATAAAAAATCAAGTGAAATTTGAAAAACAATTAACAAAGTAAGTTTGACAAAGAAACAAATTTTAAAAATGAAAGAGAAATCTTAGCAATAAAAAATACAGTATCTAAACTGAAAAATTCAATAAAATGCTTGAACAGTATACTTCATCAGCAGAAGAATCAGTGAGCCTGAAAGAGGACATTTAAAATTATCCAGTCAGAAGAGCGAATAGATAAAGAATGGAAAAGAATGAAGAAAGCCTACAGGTATTATGAGATACCGCCTGAGAAACAGGAATGCCTGAAGAAGAGAGGAAAAAATGGCCAGAAAGCATATTTAGGAAAATAATGGCTGAAAATTCTCCAAATCTAGGGAAAGACACCAACATTCAGGCACAGGAAGCTCAGCGGTCTCCAATACAATTTAACCCAAAGAGAAGTTCACCAAGACATATCATAATCAAACTGCTAAAATTCAAAGCAGCAAGAAACATATCACATACTAGGGAGGTGCAATATGGCTAACAGTGGACTTCTCAAGAAAAACTACTGCCGGGTGCGGTGGCTCAAGCCTGTAATCCCAACACTTTGGGAGGCCGAGGCGGGTGGATCACGAGGTCAAGAGATCGAGACCATCCTGGTCAACATGGTGAAACCCCGTCTCTACTAAAAATACAAAAAATTAGCTGGGCATGGTGGCATGTGCCTGTAATCTCAGCTACTCAGGAGGCTGAGGCAGGAGAATTGCCTGAACCCAGGAGA